AAACAGCAGGAAAATTTCTTTGTGGCATGTGTCATAGTTCCTGAGCTAACTGCACCTCTTACCCCTTCATGGCCACCTTAAAGGTGCCCTCTTAGTTTCTCAGGCCCCTAGTCATCATTGCCCTCAGAGCAGAGTCCCGTGAGTCTCTTCTCTAGACCTGGGCTGCAGACTCTTGTAAATCGTTCATCTCAGCAGAATTTGAGTTTAGATCAGCACTTGCAGTCCTGTTTTCTCAGGGGCAATGACAGGGTTAAGCAGTGACCAACCAGCTTTCATAAAGCAAAGAACTAATTATTCAGAATAAATGTGTTACAGAGAAAACACCTTAAAAACAATAAACTGCTTATACATCTGCCTAGTTTACCAGGTGTCACCCATCTTCCACATGGAGACTCTGGCAGGTTCCAAGTACTTCATGTCCTCCCCGGGACCTGTCCTTCTTGGTCACAGTCTCACCTCTGTTGTTGGATTGATGATGAGCAACTTTTCTCCCTATGTCAGGGTGAGAAACTCTATACAGTTTACAATTCAGTTTGCCAGGCTTTTTGAACCAGGTCAAACCAATATATGCTATCTCCCCAGAGGGCTAAGCATCTCCAGAGGTGTTACTTGCAATAGGGATTCGCATTAATTGCCCAACTGATTTTAGTTCCTGCAGGAAACCCTTTAGTTTCCCCACCTGAGCCAGGAATACAGTCACTAGGCAACCCATAAAGATACATGTAACATTTTTAAAGTGCATACACTAGTTTTGAATATTCCATTTTTCATTGCCTCTGTCTCAGTGTGTTTTTTTTCTTTAGTAGATTTATCCATTTATAGGGCTGTAATTGTATCAAAAGTATCAATACAAACATTTCTTTTTAATATATCAGGCTTTTCCCTCCACATTTCCATATGCTGTGCCTCTCCAACCATCACCTTGAATAAGCATCTGGTTCACTACATTTCAAAACAGAGTCCTACTTTATTATAATTTCTTAGATTAATCAACCTAGATTTTATTTTTAACTCATTTATTCTTGAATCACGAAAGCATGAAACATATACATTGTTGCACTTTATTTTTTTTAACTTTATAACTTTAAACCAAAAAAACTTTGTTTTAAAAGGATTTTTCTAAATAAGATTTCTCCTTGTCTCAGACTTTTAAAGCTAAGATTCAATCAGTTATTTTGGTTTACAGCAAATTTATAATAAATCCATTTAAATGAGGGAGTAAAATCTTTCGAAGTCACAATTTGAGCCCTGCACTCTTCTTCAGGCAGTGCAGTTATGTGCTGCCCCCTATTCAGGCTGGATTGGAAGATGCTAGTGTGGCCCTAAATCCCTAATCCTGCAAACACTTATGCACATGAAGTGAAAAGGATTACTCACTTTTTGTAAGGATGTACAGTTCGGGCCCTAAGAGGGTTGTCTTAGATCTGACAAGTAATATATATTTTCCTTAAAGGGGCACTGTGAGATTAAAAAAAACAAGTAATTAAAATTCCATATCTGTTATAAAAAATGTCTTAAATTACTAAAATTGAAAGAATTTTCAAATCTATTTCTTTTCATGTTTACATTCTGCAGTTCTCTCATCTTGGAGAATTAAAATAAAGTAATAAATTTCAGTTGTTTTTAGTCTCTTTTGAGTTCATATGACTTTCAGATTCCCACAAACTAGTACAATGCTGGTGTGTTTGATTTGAAAAAATGACAATAGAAAGTTTAAAGTTTAAAAAAACAAACTGTTTCCATTGGATTTTAATCATGAAAACATTTCTGTTGGTCTTGAGTTTTGCACAAGTTGTGTTTTTTTTTTTAAACAAAAACTGGTAAATTTGACTGTACAGTTTCCCTTTAAATCCTATGTAATTCTTTGCACAGACTGTCTATGTAATAGTGATTACATTTTACTTTTGATACACTAAGACCTTGCTCTAGCAAATATATAAGCACATGAATGACTTTGCCACATGTATAGTAGTCCCATTGACTTGGGGGCTTCTCACATGCGTAAGTGTTTGTGTAACCTTTGGGTGGCTAAAGTTTATTTTACTGCCCTTCTCCAGTGCCTAAAAATCCTAACTTCATGGAAAAGCACCTGGAGACCCAGAATTCAGTCATTAAGGATTTTCAGCAAGGATTCCACAGGATTCAGCAACCTCCCCACAATCAAGTCCAAAAAGTACAAACGGAATGAACTTAATACTTAAATACCAACTTTATAAAATCTTATAATAATTTTATTAACAGCAACTTAATTTCTACAACATAACATAGCTATTTTATAATCCACATAATCTTCACAGTGATACATAAAGAAAAGAAATTAAATCTAATCAGGTCAGTCCGCACAGAAACACAGTGAGAAGAAATTCTGAATTCCCAGAAGCTTAGGTTGAGTTCATCTGAGTCTCAGTTACAGTCTTTGAGCACCAAAATCTCTACAGTCTGCTAAATCAAAACCACTGCATCAACATCTTCCCTCCACTTGCTTGTAGAAATCTTCAGCTGGAATCCATGCAGACTCTTCCTTCTCCTCGACTGAAATCACTCAGCTAGCTAACTAACCAACCACTCACTTTAAGTATACGAAGGGGGAGGAACTCTGTTACAAGAAAAATAGAAACTGAGAATAGCAAAATATCAGTGACTCTTTCCCTATCCTCACATTTAAATAAGAGAAAAGTTGGTGAATCATACTAGTTGAGACAATTTAACTAAAACAGTTTGGCTAAAATCAAACATTTCAAGTATACAATTAAAATAAAAAAATTAGCTTTTCCTCCCTGTTTCCCCTTTCTATAATTAGCACTGCCAGGAAGGTTAACAATATCACTAACCTGCTGCAAAATGCTTCAGCGTTAAGGAGAAACAGCCTGCTTTCTGCTCCTGTGGCTCGGCTTCTCCCAACCCACAGAGGGCAGGAGGCCTTTTTCAAAGCAGCTGCCCCAACTACTTGCCCTCATGGATAAGTCTGCGAGTTTTCACGGAAGTCACAGATTCCGTGACTTCTGCAGCTCGGGCAGCCCCTGCGCCAGTCAGACCAGCCACTGCTGGGGCAGTCTTAGGCCATCGCACGCTCCCCCCAGCATAGTTTGGGTATGGGAGGGGACAAGGGTTTGGGGCACAAGGCGGGGTGAGGCAGACTGTGGGTGACGCTTACCTGGGGGGCTCCCTGGAAGCGGCGACATCCCGCTCAGCTGCTAGGTGGAGGCATGGCCAGGCAGTTCTGTGCGCTGCCTCTGCCTGCAGGCACCACCTCCACAGCTCCCATTGACCATGGTTCCCTGTGTGGGTTGAGAGTAGCTGAGAGAGGGGAATGTCGCCACTTCTGGGGAGCCTCCCAGATAAGCGCTGCCCAGAGTCCGCCTCACCCCATCCCTCTACCTCCTCTCCCACACAAACTCTGCTGCTGCTGGTGGGGGAGGTAGGGAGCCTGTCAGCCCCGCCAACCCCCACTACCACCACCACCACCAGTGGGGGTCCCGGGCCGTGCCCTGCCGGCCACCCTCCCCCAGCACCCACAGCACCTCCCCCCAAGTTTTAGTCACAGGTATTTTTAGTAAAAGTCATGGACAGGTTACAGGCCGTGAATTTTTGTTTACTGCCCATGACCTGTCTGTTACTTTTACTAAAAATACCCTTGACTAAAACGTAGCCTTACTAATGGAGTCTCAGTCAAGCTACTGGGAACCCATTGAGCATACCCAAAACTACTATACCCAATTCCAGAAACTTCTGAGTGTGCAGTGCTAATTGTGCATGTGCCTAACAATGACCCAGACACAACTTATTCTTACCTATCTACCTCCCCAGATAGATCTCTTAAACAGTTATCTTCCTTTTAGGCACCTGGGTTACATTTGCAAGATCAGGGCCTAACAAATTGTAACCCTTTGAGCTTGCATTACACCATTTAATTACATATATAAATATTTTCCAATGGTTAAACATTCACGAGTAAATCACTTATGAATATGACTAATATCACTGGCTTTAACGGGTATAGTGCAGGTGGAGGTTGTACAAGGTTTCCCAAGGATCTGTGCCAATGCATCTGAATCTTAACCTGAAAAATCCCCATTATTCAAACTCTGGGCTCCTTATGAGCAGATATTACCTGTTGTGTTAAATTGAGTTGGGTTTTGTGGTTGGAAACTAGAGTGAGACCTTAGAACTCATTTTTACTTGAAACCTAAACTAGGATTTGAACCTTTGTGTCTCATGGCAAAAAGCTGGTGAGCTTCACTCTGTGATATTTGGCCTCCTTCTGCTCCACCTGCTTGAGAAAAAAAGAAAGATGAAATATCTTAAGCAAAGCTATAGCATTTAAGTATTGTCATGTTTAGCAATTTTCAGATGTCTCTATCTTTTAAAGATGTTTTCTTAGAAGATATACAGTAGAAGAAACCAATAACAAAAAGATAAATCCATAGATGATGAAAGGATTTTCTTGAGTTTAGCCAATGTAATAATTTCAAAAGGAACAAATTTACAAGTAGCACTTTTTCAAATGCACTGTATAAAGAGTGAATAAAATAAACATCAAGATGTGTTGTGGTAGGAAGTCAGATGATCAAAGGGAGATACTGAATAGACATACTTATTCTTTCAGATAAAATAAGGAAGTAATTCCTTTGAGAGGTTTTGTGATCATTTCTGACTGAAAACTTCGTATGCGCTACTCAGAAATACAATGAAAAGAAAGGCAGTGTAGCTTAGATAATAGTGTCTGTTCTGAGCACGAGGTGGCATGTGGACATTGCTTGTGCTATTGCTCCAAATCATTTGAATGGAAATATTGGATTAACTAACCTTGTGTCAGGTCTATTAGTTAGATAAACCCTCCAACTGTTCCTGACTGAAGGATGCGTAGTTGCAACTGAAAGATGGTGCTGCTTTTCATTAGAGTTTTGTGAAACATGTCCTGCTAACATAATGTTTTTAAAATAAAGTGGTTTATTAGAATGGGATAACAAGCAAAAATTCACAGCTTTGTCTTTTCACAGGGAGTTTCAGCCCAGTAGGAAGTCCTCTTAGCCGAACACCATCAGTCAGACTACAGACGGTAAGGAATTCTATTTATGCATTTAAAAAAATTGATAATATTAAACTATAAAATGGCATTCTTCACAAATTGCTTTGTAGAAAAGCTTTCTTGCTTCTTTTGTGAATAAAAGGAGGTATCTTTAAGGAAACTTTCGTGGCTGTGGAGGCTTTTACCTCATGTTGATATAGAGGTCAGATTTTTTTTTTTTTTAAGTATAAAATATAGTCTTCTCTCTCGCACGCGCACACTCAGTCTCTCTCATTGTTTAGAAATTAATATGTCAGAATCACATTCCTGTATTCTTGGTATTTAGCAGGAATATAGGCAATACTAAGTCAGGAGGGGAAAATGTGGTTGTAACTTAAAATTGGCTATTGGATCAATTGCAGCTGTTTTTTACCATTAGCTCATCTACATCTTATTTCAAGCTCTGTTTGTACCAGTTGGCTTATGGTAACCAAAGTGAAATCACTAATATCGCCTGTGTATTTCTTGTGCATATAGGAATTGGTTGGTGATGATGTATACTCCGTCTTGATCCTTCTCCCCCAACACAAAAGAACCCCCAAACTCTATAAACTTACTTTAATGATTGTATAGTTGTAATTAACTATGTTGTGTTTTTTTTAAATACCAGGGAGGGACTAGTTGTAGAAGAGGTAATGTTCTTAACATTTTGTGTTTGGCCCCTAAAAAAATGGGCCTGTTGCACTTGGACGTTAACCCCCTGGTGCCTGCAGTCAAAATGTCCTGACCTAATGTGATACGGTAATCGCATGCCAGCCGCTGGCCTCCAGAGGGTTCATCGGAAAGAGACATAAATTAGGTTGTGCCCTTAATTCCCAGAACCTGTTCCACCCTTTTATTTCCATCTCATTCAGACCTTTCCTTCACAAAATCCTTTAATGTCTCTTTGTATCAGGCTGATATGATAAATAAGACTTCTCTTGAAAAACAATGCTGAAAATATAGTTTTGCACTCATCTTTTTCTCTGTTGGCTAAGTTACTATTATTGTTTGCATATTTTATACATATTTAATTCTAGATGTCAGCCAATTATTAGGAAAATTTATGAATTATTTAATATGTATATCAGTGCTTTTCTGCTACAACAACCCGTAAAAGTATCTGTATCATTGACTCATTTTGGGAAGGGATTTATAAATAAATTAGCAGCTTTCTGTTAAACTTGGTGGGATTGAGTATATTTTCGTTAACCCTTTTTCTAGTGATGTTATAAATGAAGTCGTAATGGCATGGAAGTGATATTCTTTAAAGAAAGAAAGTAAATGTTGCCAATTAAGGACAAAATAGATCAAATAGTTTTGCTGTGTATTTGATTAATCTCAGGAGTTGGATTATTTCACGTACTTCTGAATTCATCTTTTTTTTTTCTTTCTTTATCCCTGTAGGCTTTGCTGAGGCAGCTGTGTTTGCATTTCTGTTCTCTGTTTGTACATTGTAGGATTCAATAAAGTGCAGCCTGGCACAGTTTTTCCTTTAGGCAGATTATAGATTCCCATGCTCATTAAACGCTGAAGGACTATAATCAAATAAGGATCATATTCATTTGAAACCCAAGGAAGTAACATTTACAGTAGTTTCAGGATATTAGATGTATTAATTAAGACCAAAGCCCACTACAGTATTTTATGATGTTACTACTTTCTCTATGCTTATAGCATTTTAATGTAACTATTAATACTTTCCCTTGTGTTTTTTCCTTTGTATATACACGGAATGTATACATTAAGATTCAATATTAAGTGTTCAGTTAAGGATGCTTTCCATTTTCAAGGTAATAACCCAACTTGGATGATATTTCTCAGACAGTTTTCATTTTGAGGAACATCAGTCATTTTAATCCCAAAGTCACCTATATTCCACACAAAATAAATGTTCCCTCATTCTTATTATTGAAGATCTCAGACACTGAGTGGAATGAAATGGTCCAGATCTACTAGTTCTGATTGAGACTATGTGAAGAAATTAAGAATGAATTAGCTCATGTGGAGTCCCCAACCAACCTAGATGCCTTCATCGACTTTGTCATATGCATCAACAATAGGCTCCACAAGAGACATAAGGAAAGGAATGGATATGGGCCACCACCCAATTGGCGTACATTGGTACCCATCTCCAACCTGGACATTGAACCCAGGCAGCTGGATACCACCCACTGCCATGTGACCCTTGAGGAAAAAGACTGCCGTCGCTGCCGTGAGCTATGTTTCTGTTGAGGATCTAGCCATGCAACTGCCCATCATGAGCTGTAGCATGACCCAGTTCGGGAAATGACTATGCTCAGGATCAGTAGAGGGGATTGGCCTGGGCAAACCCCAAGATAATATCCCCCCACTCCTCCCTGATGCACATCTCAGGCACAGTGAGTGTTCCCTGTGGCCTAAAGTCTGGATCTGCCACCATGTTACAGGAGAGCCTTTCCAAATTCCCCCCCCCAGTGGGCACTGGTAGATTCCTGTGCAGCAGACAACTTTATAAATGCCGATACGGCCCAAGCCTTGGGTATTCTGGTACAAACAAAGATGGTCCTTGTTCTACTGGAAACTATAGATGGTTCACTCTTGTTGTCGGGGCCAATGATACAGGAAACAGTGCCTCTAGAAGTTGTCATTCAGGACTATCGGAAGCCCTTCATTTTGAGGTGATCCACTCCCCACACTTCCCAATAATCCTTTGCATTTTGTGAGTAACAACTCATGAGCCACAGGTCCTTTGTCATGAGCACAAAGTTAGCTTCCTGTCTGAGTTCTGCCAGCAAGTCTACCTATATACACCACCTGACAAACCCTGGAACCAAGATACTCCCGCTTCTGGGCCCTGGCCTTGGGTCAGGTGGGACCATCACCAGAGTGACTTTGGCACTGCTCTCCAAATACAGTGACTGTGGTGTCGTCTTCGAGAAGTAGAATGCTAACACCCCACCACCCCATTAGTATTATGACTGCCTGATCGAGCTGTAGCCAGGGGTCAAGGAGCCATTTGGCCATTTATATGCGATGTCAGAATCTGAGGTACTGCACTGCACTCTTATCTCCAGGAGAATCTGCCTAAGGGTTTCTTTCAGCCATCTACCTCTCCCACCAGGGCCCCAGTTCTGTTTTTTAAAAAGAAAGATGGAACCCCGCACTTACGCATGGATTCCCAGGCCCTCAGTCAGGTTATCATCAAGAATCAAAACCCCTCTTCCACTTATTCCAGAACTACTGGATCATTTGCAATCAGCCCAGGTATTCACAAAACTTGACTTGTGAGGGGCCTGTGACAGGTTGGACCCACCCCTCGTCCGGGGTGCCACCTGATGTGCTGGGGTTTAACTGAGCCTCCCCTGCTCAACCAGCCTCCTTGCTCGCTGAATTAGGTTTTCTGGTCTCTTGCAGCACACACACAAAGGTAGGGCCACACCCCACTACAGACACAGACTGAAGTCCGCTCTGTGTGAGAGGGCTTCCCCAGCACTCACATGCCCACCCCTTTTGGGAGACAAACCCAAAATACTACTGCCTTGCACTGTATAGAAATATCTGTACAGCGCAAGCTCATAAAATTCGCCCTCTTCCTCAATGTGAAGAGAGAGATGCACGACTTCTTCCCCCCCCCCCAGTAAGAAATTGCATAAACTGGGTTTAATAACAAACAAAACAAATTTTATTAACTGTAAAAGGCAGATTTTAAGTGGTTCAAGGGATAGCAAACAGAACAAAGCAGATTACTAAGCAAATTAAACAAAACACGCAAACTAAGCTTGACACACTAGATAGGTAGGATACAAATTAGCAAATTCTCACCCTGAGTGATAAACAAGCAGGCAGATTCTTAAGGCACCAGTAGCCTTGGCTTTCCCAGGTTTTCATACACAGGCTAAAGATCTTAGCCTGGGACCATCACTTCTCACAGTTCATTCTTTGTTCCTCAGGTGTTTTCAGGTGTGTGGTTGTAGGGAGAGTGAGGCCCCTCATGTTGTCATTGTCCCTATTTTATATTTTCCTCCAACTTGCTGGAAAGCTTTTTTGCTATGACCTGGGTCAAATGGTTCCCATTGTATAGAGCTATCTCTGAGAGGTTCCTATTGCACACAGTTCCTGGGGTAATCCTTATGCTTGTGTCATTTCTTCAATAAGCCACTAATATTGTTTGGCCTCATCCAACGTAGCACATTTGAAATATAGAGACATGGTCAATATTCCCAGCTTCAGATACAAAAATGGTACATGCACGCAAATTGGATAAACACATTCAGTAAATCATAACCTTTCCAATGATACCTTACATGAGCCATCTTGCATAAAGTACATCTGTTATGTCATATCCATATCATTAGTATATTTCCATAAAGAATATGGAGTGTTATGTCACAGGGCCTACAACCTGGTTCAAATCCAAGCTGGGGTTGAGTGGAAGACAGATTTTCAAACCTGCTATAGCCACTACAAGTACCTAGTAATGCAGTTTGGCCTCACAGATACCCTTGCAACATTCCAGCACTTCATGAACGAGGTCTTCCATGACATCCTAGATCAGTATGTTGTAATCTACATAGATGATATCTCCATCTTTGCTGAGGATCACAAGCAACACACTGAGCATGTCCGGTCAGTCCTGGAATGGCTCTGCCAACATAGCCTGTTTGCAAAGGTGGAAAAATGTAGCTTTGACCAGTGCTTCATGGAGTTCCTGGGCTACATCCACTCCCCCAAGGGCTTCTAAGTGGACTCCAAAAAGATGGAGGCAGTACAGACCTGGGTGCCCACCCGAAATATCAAGGAGCTACAATATTTCCTGGGGTTCACTAACTTTTAGAGGCTGTTCATCTCTGGATTTTCAGGCCACATCACCCCATTGACAGCACTTCTCAAAAATACCACCTTCAGCTGGTCTCCGGAGGCCCAATGAGCATTCGTCCTTTACCCCCACCCCAATCCTGGCTCATCCCAACCCAACATGACCCTTTGTTGTCAAGACTAATACCTCCAATGTGGCAATTAGGGCAATACTC